GAAAAATATGTCTTTAGATTATATATGAATTTTTAAGTATTGTAATTTTTCCAGTTTCATTTATGTGAATTGGATGAGCAGACGAAAAAGTTGAAACCAAAATCTGACTGATTAAGAATAAGTGTTTGTATATATGTATATGTATGTATAAATCATTGTATAATAGGCAATACTTTAAGCTCATATGGGTTCAAATTTTTAATGGATTAAAATTAAATGATAAAAACTTGTTTCTTTAAAGAAGAGAAACAAAAGATATTATTGTTACTAAATGCTAATATTAATTAAACTAATAAATGCAATATATTATTTAGCCTTAATTATTCTCTAGTATAGCTACAAATATATGTAAAATAATTATATACTAAATTGAATTATCATAGTGACTAGTACTTTTAGATAACTGTCATTGCAAAAGACCAGCGATCAATAGGCCGCCTCAGGCGTTATTTAACCGTTACGACAGAGACTCTTTTGCAACTGAATATTCCGACGATATTCTTAAATGGCCTGGTGCAAGAGTACACAAAACGAAGTTACGAAATGCAATTTCCACATAACCAAATAAAGGAAAAGCAAACGAAAGTGAGGCAGAGCAAGTCATAACCAAAAGCCAAGTGAGATTTGAGCCAAATGCATTAGCTCGATTTAGTGGCGAGCTCACCGCAATTATTTAATTACACAGTGGCTGGAGGATTGTTTAGCTGGCTCGTTTGGCTTGGCTTGGCTTGGCTTGGCTTGGCTGTGGTTCCCCGCTGACTGCCGTCCAGGCCAGTCGGTTGGCTCGTGAATCGCTCTCGGCTTAATCAAAGACCCAACGAAGTCAAGCATCGCACAAAAGAGCGACAAAACTTTTGTTGCAACTTTATGTTGCAGCCAGCCAGAGCAAAGTAGCAGCAGTCGCAGAAAGGACTTCGAGGGGCGACGTCAGCAGTGCCACAGTGTCACCCACTCACACACTGGCAAGCACACACACACACACACAAATATCTATATGGTAGTCAGGCAGAGAACATGTCCGGACCTTCAAAAGTCGCTGAGCTGCACAAAGCTCGAGACCTCGGACCGATACGTATCGCTAATGATGATCAAATAACGGGCCAAATGCTGGGGCCTACCAACAAAGGGCCCACAAAAATCGTTAGCCCAGTTGGCAGCGCACCAGGAAATTCTCTGCTGCCGCTCTGCCCCTACCCCTCGCAACAGCTCCGCCATGAGCCACAACATGCCTCGTCTTCGAGCTCCTGTCTCCCTGGTCGGCGCTCTCTACGGCGTCGTCTGGGCGTAATGAGCGCTGCTTTCACTTTTCACAGTCATGAGGATGAGCTGGGCAGGCAGGCAGGCAAGAGTTGCACCCTTCCAGCAGTTTGGCACTTGACTGCTATGTGGCACAAACGATATGTAAATACCAAAACAATTTGCTATCACTCGAGCCCTCGGCCTGAGTTGCTATTTGATTAGGGCTCGATCAATGCGCCGAGAGCTCTCTTGGCAGCTGAAGCACGTTTTTTGGGTCAGACTTCAAGAGAATTTAATTAGATAAGCAGCAACAATGCAAGCAATTCGTGACACAGTCTGCAAAATGTTTACCCAAAAATGCAAAAATAAAAGCGGACCCGTAAATTCTGCACATGCAGGTGACAGCAGAAAGTGTGTAATGGAGTGCGCCGCCCATGCACAGCAAATTATGAATGCAAAAGAATCGGAATAATAAATTATATTTTTGTCGCATTCACGCGTGAATTGTGTGCAAGAGCTTAAAGCCAGCTAATAAAAAAAAAAAGAACAACAACAACATGAACAACAGCAACAAAACAGGCACACGCCCAAAAATAGAATGCATAAATATTTCGGTGTTTTAGGCCAGTAAAACTCAGAAATAAAACAGCCTTAAATGTGCTCATAAATAATGGGCGACAATCGTTAAATGAAATCGCCTGTATAGAGCAGGCTGGAGGGCAAAGCTCATACTATAATATTTAGTTCAAAATCATATACTAATTTCATGCGAGCGTACATCGAATTGTCGAGCTGCTTAATAATAGATATCAATGTGGGAAAAAATCATGCGAAAGTCTTATGTTTCGGTTGTGAAAGGCAAATGTTTTGGGACTGTTGGATTTTCAGTGTGTTTTAAATTCTGTTTGATTTTCTTAAATAATTTCAAGTTGTGTTTTCCTTATAGAATACATACCTGATCGCTCTGCGCTGTTTCAGTCACTGAAACATCTCTGCCAGACATTTTTTACGCGTGTTTTGTTCGATCTATTTGCGATTGCATAAACTTGGAATTTGTTACTGCATTGAAAAGGATAAAAATTTCAAAACATTTTAATTTTGAATTTATTTATTTTTTACAATTTATTTTATTAAAATTGTTTTTGATTGGATTACTCCATGCATTTTTATGTTCACTTTAATTGTGGATATATTCGTTGCTTTTTATGCAACTTTTCGAGTATTTATTTCTCTTTGATTTATTACGCAAGCTTTTTATTTTTGGGAAATAGTTTTTTTTTGTTTATGATTGGCATTGTATTTATTTTGGCTGAAACACTTTATATATTATTTTGTTTTATATTTTTGTATTGCGCACTTATTTGAGCAAGTCCGTAAATATTTTTCATTTTAAGCGTAGAATTTTCTGTTTTTTTTCTTTTTTTTCTTAGCTATTTTGCAAACGTTTCTATTTTCAGTTGCTGGGCCGTAATCCACATTTTTGTTTCATACCCTCGTCGTTTGTGTCTGTTTTTTACGGAACTTAATCCTTGTCTACACAAAGTGTTTGTTAACCGTTTCCCAGAGAGATCCCACAGTTTCGTATCTCATTTGTGCAGCGGAGTAAATAGCAGTCGCTTGTCATTTAATGCAAATTAAGCAATTTAAATAAGTAAACAAATAAACGAAATGGGACAAAATGCGAATTTGCGGTTAAATGGGGGACTACAAAGATGAAGACGAACTCCAGGATAACAGAAATACACATACATAGACACACACAGATAGATATACACACGCACACTCATGTAAGTGCGCTCTCCTTGCTGTTTTGTTTGGTTTGTCGCATTGCACATAACTCGTTACTCATACGCCGCGTTGTATGGCCGAATTGCGGCTAGAAATGTGCTGGCTGCCTGCCTTACGGTTGCCAATTGTCAGAGCCACGCGGCGGCGACTGCGGTAGACAATAACATAGACTAGCGAGCACACAGGGCGGTGCCAGACCCCAAAAGCAAAGTAAATAAGAAATATAAAAATACCAGCCAGAAATTGAAATTGCGTATACGTAAACGAAAAACCAAAAAACCGAAAAACCCGGAGAAAAAAAAAACAAAAAAAACAACAAACCAAAACGGGCGCTTAAGTCTTATGTAAACAGACAGGCAAAAGTAGGTAAGAATCGCGTTGCGAGACGAGATAAAAAGAGTGAAAGAGTGAGTTGCCCGAAAATTTGATAAATGTGCTGTGACCTCTGTACTAATGTGCTGCTAAATGTGTATGTAATGGATATTGGAGCTGAGGCGAGACAGAGATGGCGATAGCGCGCGTGAGTGAAGGAATCAGGTAGCGCCTGGGCACTGTGGGAGCCACGACAAGCAAGGCATTTACTATGCTACAACATGTGGGAAGAAAATATAAAGTGGCATAGACGGAATGGATGTGTCAGTAAAGTAACTACTAAGTTATTTAATTTATATGCAATTTGTAAGTTTAAATAGTGAAGAAAGAAACCTCATTTAAATAAAATAAAATATTCAGATAAACATAAGTGTATGTATATATGAATAAATGAATATCCAGACATACCTACTTATAGTCATACAGTAATGCATCCTAGTATTGTTTCTTATCATATATCATATATCTTAAACTTTACTTATTCTTCATCATATTGAAATTTCATCTCATTATCTCACATTTCATCTCTTTATTTACTCAAATTGTTTAGTACTAACCCAAGTATTATCCGTTCACTTAAATAGTTTTCGAGCAGAAGTATTTAAAATACTTTGAAACAAATTGTTCGCTTAAAATTGCGTAATTCTAATTTCGAATCATTAATCAGGGCTGCTTAAGTTGACCAGGCAGAGGTCGTTTGGGCGCAAAGTATCTTCTACTTTGGGCTCTTAAGATGGCAAATATATTTTACTTGCGGTCCTTTTATGCTGGCACTTCTATCCTGTCAACTGGGGGTAGCTGTTTGTTATTTAGCTAAAATTCATTAAAAATTAATGAGCTTAAAAGCGGCGAACAATTTGTTGAGTTGCTGCGAAACGGAAACTCTAATTTCGTTACTGACTTGCCGCATAAATCGCTTTGTTATTGATATAGATAGATAGACAGATAGAAAGAGGGAGATGAAGAGAGAGTGCGACGCAGAGGAAGGCATCCGTCAGCGACGTTCGCTTGCACTGGGTTGAGCTCTAATCCTGTTCTGAATATTTGATTTTTCATTTGTGCATTTTTCACTTAGGGCAAACATAAATTGCAAGTGACACTCAACAGCCAACGAAGGACCTAACGGTCGCCTGACAGCGCAGAGTGAAGCAAAGAAGCGAACGGAAACAGCAGGAGGCATGTCCTTTTCACTGACAAATAAAAGATGCTGCAGCCAACAGAACTTTCATCACTTTACGATTGCAAGTTCACATCGAATGGCCAAATGAAGGAAGATTAGGGAATCAAACGGAACTGGAACTGAACCAGAATTCAATCAGGCGATAAATTTTAAATGTAATCGATATGCAACGATCTGCAGAGCCATTCACATTTGGCTTATGAAATATGATTATTACCTATCGATATAATATGTTATTTACATACAAATGTTGCAGTCTTTTTCCGCGTTTTATATTTATTTAGTCAGCTCAATGTTTTCTTCCCTTCAAAACACTTTGTCGTTCACTACCTATTTCGATATTGGAATTATCTTAATTCTAAATTATTCAAAGCAAGCCTTGCCACTCTACTCGAAACCGTTGTGTGTGTGTGTGTTTTGTGTAAAGCAAGTAAGCTTTTCTTTAGTAATTACAACTCGGCGCTTGGGAGAACAACCAGGTTTCCTTAAAAGCAACACAATTCAAAGTCTAACAAAAATCTAATAGTCACGTGAGAAAATTTGAGAATAAATTTTTTCCTTGAATACAAAAATAAATATTGTGTACAATTCGATACAATTAGAGAATAAGAATGTCTGACTCCAATAACAACTTAAATGCTCCGGATTGCTCGCGGCGCTGGAACGACGATATTGATATTGAATTCGATGACCAGTTGCTATTTGCATCCTACCCAGAGACGGACGGTGGCCGTAACTACAATTCACCCGTAATCTGCGATAATGAGCATGACCCTGATAACGTGAATGAAACGAGCCCATCCCATTGGGGCATGGCCTGCTCTCCGGGTCCTTCGGATATGACGGACAACCCGCATGGCGTGGATTCGGAGTGTACCTCTGACTCCGAATTGGAATACCTCTTTGAAGAACCTCCGCCCGTACATGACGGTAGATTCTTCAATCCGAATTACGAACTGCCGGCCCAAGTGGCCGGTGGTGATGCCAACACTCCGGAAGAGGCTGAGACGACAGCGACTGGTCAGGCGAACGATTCAGGCTTGGATCTGCGACCGGTGCCGGCATCGATTGATCTGACGCGAAATCGACCCCCGACCACCTGGCGTGACTATCATGCCCGCGTTCGGGCCCAGAATCGTCCGCCGCCGGGCGTACAGCGGCTCTGTGCTGGACAGCCACCCAACCGTGTTCCAGTGTTCTTGGATGAGGAACTTGGCGTCTATGTATTTGTTGCCAACGATACCGATTCAGAGGACGAGCCGACTCTGCCCCCATTGGCCATGGTGCCGCGACGAGGCAACAGTGTCAGCGATCTGAGTCAGTGCAGTAGCGACGAAGAGCCCGATAAAAACTAAACATGAATACTAACACTATCGACACTGATGTAGGACTTAACACTAAACACTGAAAACACACTACACACGCAAATGACATGCAATTATTGAAAGTTTTATATCCCTATACTATATATACCATATACACTATATACACTTAGAATTTTTTTTATTCACTATATATATATATATATTTATATATATACCATATATACTATATGTACTATGTAACCTATATACACTAAAAGCGCTCTTTGTACACTATTTACACTATATACACATAGTTTTCTCCGCAATTCAACTTTACAAATCTTTCATAAAAACACTTAATACGTGCAATCCCATACTCATGGCTGAAACATTACACTTCAGACATTAGACATTACACTTTACACCTTAGTCATTACACCTAAGTCCTTACACATTTCGCCTTAGATACTATGCGTTAGACATTACGTGTTAGACTTTACACATTACATATCATTTTACAAGAATTCCAAATAAAGGATGTAAAAATAGTGAGGTCTCTTGTTTTCTTTGGGTATGATTGGGCTTTAAAGTAACGAATTCTTATTTGAAATGAATATGGAAAATGCGATTATTTTGGTTTTGGTAAAATGTATATAGGAGGGGGAAGGAGAAGGAGGCTTTGTCATAAAGTATATATGTATATATATATGTATATTCTTCATCCGGACGACGAGCTGAGTTGATTTGAACATATAAGAATAGCTTCAAAATAATTTATTGATTCCTTGACCTAATCTAAAAGTTGGGTTTAAAATATGATCTTCATCTTGCATTTTGTATAATATTTATATACCTATAATTGATTTGCTATCTTAATTACATTTTGCAATTAATACTGTTTTCAAAGTAATTTTCATATGCATATTCCTATGTAAATATTTAGGAATTGCTTGAAATGCAACTTTGGTTATTTCCCATAATAATTTATTGATTCCTTGACCATGTCAATTCTGGCTTGTTTTTATATCCTCGTCTGGTCCGCTCCGCCCTCTACTCAAATAGTTTAATGAACATTTTAAGCAATTTGCTAGCTGTGAGAATAATTTTGCTTAAATAATTGCAATCGAGAGAGAAACGAAGCCCAGGACAAACAATGTGCTGGATGCAAATCTGCTGTAAGCAGAGCCGGGTAGAGTAGGAACTATAAATTTGGTAGACCATGGACCAATGCCAGGCAGCTGGTTGGTTGGCTCTAGGAAATTTATACGCCAGCTGCCTGTCGCATCGTTGGCCGCCTACACATGCACACCCAGGCCGCACACGCCCACCATAGACACACGCCCCATCTTCTTTGTTATGCAAGTTAATCCTTTTTATAGCTATTGTTCAGCGCATCAAAGCTTTGCAGCTCTCCGAACCCCCTTCTGCCTAGGCTGGCCTAGGATACACGTACGCACGCCCTGCGCATTTGTTTCAATGGAGCAGCTGTGAAGTGGACCGCAGGAGCGGCCAGGGGGCGCGGCCGTCGGGGATCGGTAGCAGATGTAGCTATAGCACATGTCACCGCATTTTTCAGCGACTCCGAGAGGCGACACAACCAACATATTAGCTGCCACACACACATCTAGGGGCCCAGCAGGCGGGCGGGGCGCCGGCGGTGTGTGCTGCCAGCAAGTGTGGCATGGAAATGGGCTGGGTGAAGGGCTTGATGCATGTGCATCTTCTTGATAGCTCGAGCTAAATCTGGCGCATGTTGTGCGATGGCGCCGACGTCTGCGTCGACGTCGCTGTTGAGCGTGTTTGTACGGCATGCCGCAAATTCATTATTATTTTACCCAACACCCACTCAAGCAGCTGCAGCAACTGTATAAACACCCAACACATGAAGTAGATAAGCAAAGAGTGCACAGCTCTCCGGAGTCCGTGAAAAGTAACCTTAAAGCAATACAAGCGGAAGCTATGAGAGCCCTTAAGTGTTGTGAGCCTCTCTCTCTCTTTGTTAATTACTCCTAAGTTGAGGATTCCATTTAATTGATTTTATGTAAGGAAAACAAAGGAACATCAAACAAGTGCAAGTGACTATCTAATTAAAGACTATTATTTTACCCAAAGAAATTCGACTTTAATCCCTGGCCAGTGATGCCATAGGACAAAATTTCAGTCAACTGCAACTGCTGCAATTTCTCATTTTAATAAAAATGCAAATGTCTTTTGCTCAAAGTGATGGCATGAGGCTGCCATCAGGTCCCGTACGTTTTCGCTCTTCCCTAGCAAATTTTCTCATATAAAACGTTGATAAAACTTTTTGAATTTTCCCCTTGGTAGCTAGAGCGCAAAAGAAAGAAAAGTAGCGAATAGCAAACAAAAACGAAAACAAAGGAAAAGGAAAAGGAACAGCCACATCCAATAAGGGAAATACGTTTTCAATAAGCTGAGAAACGATATGGTGATGAACTCGGGAAGAATTTGACTTCCTGGCCACGGGCTTAGCTCAAAATTGTGGGAAGCACGTGCAGAAGGAATAGTCATATAAGTACAAGGCGGAGAGTACTAAAAATAGGAGCAGAAATCGTATGGGCAATAGAAACCGTAGCTATTTCTGCTAAATTTAATCGAAGAAGAACTTTGTGTAGATAGTAGATAAAGTGAACTATAAGTAGATAAAGTAAAAGCAGCCACAAGATAATGTTCAAGTTATTATAATCCAAGAAATTATAATCCAACTGCAAAGGATAAGCCTGCTTCCATAAGCTACACATTGTAGCATATAGTATTTATTATTATTTTATATATTATTATTGATTTTATATTATCGATATTTATGGGAGGATTGAAGTTTATAAAAGAAATACTGATTTAGTGTGCAAGTGAGTTTAATTTTGGAAAAACCTTTTTATTCAGGCATTCAGATGATATATATGTATCTATATATATATCTATATTCATATACAAAAACACAGCGCAATTTGGGCCTTGAATTTTACTGGTGTACAAATGATCTAAATGGATTGTCAATCAGCGATTTTGCTTTCTTGAGGTTGATCAATGCAGAGGTCGATTATTTTTTGTCCGAATGCATAACATTCGCTTTACTGGGGCTAACTACTTTGATCATGGAAACCATTCTGTTCGGCTTTTGGCTGGGGCCTGCACTCGCACCAGCAGCCGTAGCAGTTTTCTCGTCGCGCTTGCCACAGAATTTTTGTAGGGTGCTATGGACTCTTTCGCCGCTGCTGCCCACAAACTGTTCCAGTTTGATTTTGTTCTTGATGATCAGGAACGAGGGCATGCTGCTGACATCATACTCCTCAGCGAGATCCTCATTATCATCCACATCGACCTTGATGATAACCAGGCAGTCCGCGTACTCCTGCGCAAACTCCTCTAGACGTGGTCCGATCAGCGCGCATGGGCCACACCACGTGGCGAAGAACTCCACCAGAACATGTTTATTGCCCGCCTCCGCAACGATGCGATCAAAATCGTCTTTTGATTGTACGGTTATGACCTTCTTCGTTGTGTTTTTTTCTTTGGCGGCAGCTGCCATGAGTGTAATGCCTGTGTGTCAAATTTTGTACGCCGAAAAAATTCTAAAAATCTAAAATTTGGAACAAGTTTCCAGATTATCTGTGTGACAAATATAACTAAGCCAGGCCTGTGCCTGTGTCTGAGCCCGAGCCTACGCCAACGGCATGGTCTAAAGAGTAAAATCTGTTTTCTGTTCATGCAACCACATTTATTCAATTTACTCCTGATTCAGAGCTTTTGCAAAGTTGGATAATTGGAAATAAATAGTGATAATAATTATAATAATAATTGTATTAATAAAATTAATTTTTGAATTCCAAAAAGGAAAAACTATAAACTACTCATAGAAAAAAAAAAAAACAAAATTAAAATTGAAAAATGAGCAGAAATAAATTTTTTATACTTATAGAAATCGATTAATTAAATTAATTAAGCTTTACAATATTTATTACTGTTAATTTGATTAATTATAAGTATTTTCTTTTTTACTATTGATATGTAAAATATTTTTTTCCAATTTTTTTACGAATTTCCTTTTGCACATTTGTATTATTATTGTTGTAGGAAATGTAAAAAACGATTTATAAAATTGCAAGTATATTTTTTTTGTAGACTAGTAAAGATTCCGTAATAAAAATATTAGTGCCACTGAGAGACTTCTAAATTAATAACAATATATATCAATCCTAATACTCGTTTCAAATTGTTTTCAAAATATAGAATTCATCATTGAGTTTATTGTGTGCAACAGTACTAACACCACGACTACTTCTATTATTTTGTACCGCAGGAGTACATATAGTATATAAATACTGATTAAAGTGGAGCCAGATCAATGCAGTTGTCATAAAAGAAACCTTTACAATTGTAGGCAGCTAAGCCCGCTTTTAGTGCCATCCACCCACACAAACTTTGAAGCTGTGAACTTTTGTTGGCAACTGCAGCTTGCTTTCGTTTTTTAGTTGTGTTCGGTTGACTGTTTGCTGGCTTGTCCTGTCTTGTCCTGTCCTGCAGCTGTCTCAAATTAAGACAAATGCAGCGCAGCAGCTCTTGCCGCTCTCAACTGCTAACCTCACATTCAGAGCCAGCATCTGCGGTGCAGTATGTGTGCTATGTGTCGTCTTTCGGTTGGTTCTTATCTTTTGAGTGTTTACCTTAAGGCTTTAGAATTGTTTCAGTTTTTTTGTGCGGCTCAATACTACGCAAGGATGAGTGTTATGGGGTGTACTGGCACACACAAAAAATGGTTAAAGTGTGTGAAAGAAAATTCATGTCTCAGCACGGGGTATTTCTTGCTCGTCTCACAATGGGAACATTTTTACTTTTATTTGGTTGCCTCGCTCAGCTTCCCATGTGCGTTTTGGAGTGCTTCTTGCCGAGGCGTCTGTTGGCCAAGTTGTGCGCCCTAGGAGTGTTGGCTTTAAGCGCTTTAAGCATGCCACTACTTGACATTGAGCCTTCGTTAATAATCCGCTTGTTATGTGCAGTCGCTTTCACAACTTTGCACACATCCATCTAGGCGCGCCTCTCTCGACTCGCTTGCATAACCTAATGAGCAGTGCAGAGAGACAAATGATAGCGTTTAGCTGCTGCACACAACATACGACCGGAAACAGCACCACCAACAGCACCAGCACCACCAGCAGCATCAGCAGGTGTAGTACATAACATGCAGCAATAACAACACGAACCGTTATAGTCAAGTGTATCAGTGTCAGTTTTTGTGTCATGTTGTGCAATCGCTTGAGCATCCCATTCAGCGCGCCAAGTGCGCGACTTCCGCTCGCAGAGATTTGCCGCCCATTTATCTCCCTCTCGGTCTAGCTGTCTTGCTCTCGCTCTATTTGGGGTATTCGGTATGCAGGCAAAGCGAAAGTGCTGACCTCGCCTTCGCACCTTGACACGCCGCGTATGAGCAATGTATTAAAAAGGGCGAATGCCGAATGGCGAATGGCAACGAAATATTTTCGCCAAAAGATAGTGAAAGAAATTGTAAAAATAACAGACAGACAGAGACAGA